TAGAGGTGTGAGCCACCGCGCCCAGCCAGGAAGCTATATTTGACATATTTATATATTAATTTATGCACCCTTTTGTTCAATAACTATATATTAAGCACCAACTGTGTACTTGGCACTGTAATTGCCCATTGGGTTCTTCCTGCCTGCTGCACAGACAAAACCGATTCACTGTAGTGCAGTAGAGAGTTGTGTTAACACAAGCTGGCCACACAGGAGACAGAGTTATTGCACATTGGGAAGTCACTCTGGCTGCAATGAGAAAATGAATGGGGTTGGGGGAGGAGATCACAACTGTAAGAACAGTTGGAGAGAAATGGGCCTGGCCTAGGAAAGGAGGGGAAGAGCCATGGGTGGAGATAGAGGCATAAGGAAGCAGGTAGCAACAGATTTGTTTATGGAAACAGCTCACAGAATGAGCATGGCAATATTTTGGAAACTATAAGCCATGAATTTTATTGTGCTCTTAACATAAAGATGGTTTTTTCCTGAAACTACAAGCCATGAATTTTGGAAACTATAAGCCATGAATTTTACTGTGCTCTTAACATAAAGATGGCTCAAGCGTACACTCTTCCAGGACAGGAACTCTGTGTTATTCATCAGACGAAATGCCAAGCCAGCTCCAGGATTTGGGGCAGGGGCAGCTGTGCGTCTGTGGAGCTAGAATGTAGGCTGCTGTTTCTCTGGAGGCTTCTCCCAGACCTCTGCACCTTCTTGCATTCTGATTCCTCCCACACATCGGATGTGCCTTCCTCGTGGGCTCTGAAGACCCCTTCAAATGTAGCGAGAAGAAACATAGGAGCAGGTACCAACAAAGCAGGCCTCTCCCTGCAAATGGGATTCTGAAAAATCCTTTACTTCCCTTAAAAGAGTCTTTAAAATATTTCTTTGTAAGGGTCACTACAATACAAGGCCCACTAGGCATGTATTTGCCTCCTTCTGGACCTTCCTGGGCAGGGCTCAGATGGGGAATGTAAGACAGACAGACAGAGAGAGACAGTGTGTGTGTGTGTGTGTGTGTGTGTGTGTGTGTGTGTGTGTGTGTGTGTGTGTGTGTGTGTGTGTGTGTCAGGAATCAGGGGGCTAGGGTATCTCATAAAATGAGCCAAGCAGGCTTTGTGGAAGCTTGCCTCCCAGCCGGTCTTTGTGAGTACTGCTTGTTTTGTGCCTGCCTTGGGGCTGGAATGAAACAGTGTTTGTTTATGCAGGGTGTACAAGGTGTCAAACCCAAGCCTTGGTTGTAAGGAAGATGGCCTTCCTTACTGAACTAGCAATCTCCAATGACTTGAGTAATTGTACACAGACTGAGCAGGGTAGACACTTCTAAAAATATATATGGTCCAGACTTTTGTAAGATTCATTAATGTCTCATGGCAAGTGACTGGGGAAAGTATAGAAAAATACATCTGAGCAAGATGATGGTGAAAAATCACCCTGTTTGCTGTGTTCACTGAGCCATCAGCTGAGGGATATATTCCCTCCAATCCAAGCAATAAAACTCCCCTCCTTTTTTTTTTTATTCTGTTATACAAGGTTTTTAAAAGCGTATCTCTAAGATGAAAACTAGTTGAATTGCTTTCCCTAGCCAATCATTCATTCAACAGATAATCATTGCATGCCTACTAGGTCTCAGGCCATGTACTGTACCAGGGATGCCAGGTGAGTAGACAAGACAGGACAGGCCTTATCTGTGGAACACCAGCCCTATGTGGCTCCCTGTTTTAGGAAAAATTGAGAGATGCAATAAGACACAACAATTTTTTTAAGCTATAAAATGAGTAAAAAGAAAAATCATTCTGAAAGCCCAAAGGAATTGCATCAGTCTGATTCACTCCAGATATCAAAACATCTTTTTAGAAATTTATCAGACATATTTAATGATTTATAAAATTACTTGGCCTTCTGAAACAGAAATAGAATGCCACAGGGAAGGATAAGCTCAGGAGGCAAGGGAATCAGATAAACTAAAAAGGAAATTGAAGGGTCTGATTAAAACCCGAACTGGAGGCAAGAAAGAACAAAATTTACACAAAGACTAAATATATTCAGGAAGAAAGTGAGTTGTTCTTCCAGAAAGCATAGGAAAAGGCAAAGGCACCAAAATAATAGAAGAAAAGATACAAGATGCAGAAGATAACAAATAATACTGAGCTAAAGTGTTATAGATTTTCCAAAGGAAGGAAAAAAAGCTAAAACTAAAATAATAAAGACATAAAAAGAAACTTTCCTGAGGTGCAAGACAATATATACTTATATACAGAGGATTTACCATGTAACAGGTAATGTTAATAAAAATAGACTCATGTCTAGAAATATCCTGCCCTTTTTTTGAATTGCAAGAACAAATACAAAATTATACAAGTGCTTAAAAACAAGAAAAAAATCAAATTAGAAATAAAAGCAAAAAGAAAAACAGATTATCTATAAAGGTTTAAAAACTGGTGTGATTTTTTTCCCCTCTATAATGCTAAAAACTAAAACACAAAGAAGTAACAACTAAGGAGATATGAGGACAAAGGATTGAGTCCCAGGGATTTTCCAAGGCCAAGTTGTCAGATATGTGAAAAACTAAAAGAAAGACATTACCACAAAGGCAAGACCTCAGAGAAAATATATCTTTACTTATTTGATAAAAAAAGAACACTTGAAGATGTACATCAATTTTAAGCATGATAAGAATAAAAGCTAAATACTTAAAATGGAAAAATCCTGGTATAAATGTAACTGTAATGAATCCTAAAATTAGCTTAAAAGTTAAATCTTAAAGAAAACCTGATTTAAAAATAAAATTTTCAAATATATTTACTGAAAGATAAAACAATAATTTTATAATGTTATCTATGTACACAATCACAACCTATATTAACAGAGGACAAGAATAGAGAGAAGGAAGAAGTATAGTAAAAAGGAAATGAAAGGCAATACTTTGTTTTTGCCTTTGATCATTATAGGACCATAACTTAAAGAACGTCAGAAAAAACCTGATGGTAGCTACAAATACAATTAAAGTCAGGGTGCATACCTGTCCGATGATTACAGCTGAGAAAGGAAAATAAGCATGCTCATTCTCTCTTCTATTGCCCCATTTTATTTTTCTGAATATATTTATTTTTGCCTACCTTCTTCCATTTCAATGTGAGCTCCTTGAGAAGAGTGCATTTGTTTTCTCCACTGCTCATCCACCATACATACAGAAGCAAAGAATATATACGCATTTGTTTCTTTTCAGTTACTTTTTTTAAAAAAATTGTTTTTGATTTTGTTTTGTTTTGAGACAAAGTCTTGCCCTGTCGCCTAGACTGGAGTGCAATGGTGTGATCTCAGCACACTGCAGCCTCCACCTCCTGGGTTCCAAGTATTCTCCTGCCTCATCTTCCTGAGTAGCTGGGACTATAGGCACGTGCCACCATGTCCAGCTAATTTTTGTATTTTTAGTAGAGACAGGGTTTTACCATGTTGGTCAGGCTCAAACTCCTCAAACTCCTTATGATCCGCCCACCTTGGCCTCCTAAAGTGCTAGGAATACAAATGTGAGGCACCCATGCCCAGCCTAAGTTACATATTTTTATGGAGGGAAATGTATCACTTTTACCTTATTTCTTTCATTGCTTTAATAATAGTCTTTTTAAACTGGAAGAACAATTAGTCGTTAAGGTTCTATTCCAATATTTTCATGATTTCAATTTTTAAGATTGAATTCATTATTCAATGCAGAATTTATTCTTCTGATATACTATGAGGTTAGGCTTTTCCAGTACTATTTGTTCAATAATCATTCCCCCACTGATGTGTGATTTTTTTTTTTTAAATTTTACTGGCTTTAACTCTTAACCTTGATGTGATACATGTTTTATCATTCAATACACTATATATATTAGGATCTTTCCCTTGGCCATCTTTTCTATTTCTTTACTCTGTTGGCTTAATTTTACAGCAAGCCACACTGTTACTACTTTTATATATTTAAAATATATGCCACTGTTAGAAATAAGACCTAATCTGTTTCACATTTATTTATAATATTAAATAAAACATAGCAGTGTTTATTTGTATAGAAACATATGAAGAAATCTAAACAACTAATGATAGAGAGAAATGATTAATAAAAATACAGTATAGTCATGCAATGGACTACAAGTTGAGCATCCCAAATCTAATAATTCAAAATTTTGAAATTATTGACAGTCTGAAACTTTTTGAGCACTGACATAATGCTCCAAAGGCCATTTTGGATTTTTGAATTACGGATGCTGACCCAGGAAATATAATGCAAATATTTCAAAATACAAAAAAAAAAATTCAAAATCTCAAATATTTCTGTTCATAAGCATTTCAGATAAGGGATATTCAACCTGTACCCTGCATCAAACACGTCAAAGCTAATGGCCATATATGCATTAACATCTGTACACATGGACATATTTAAAATGGACATCATTTTCCCTGGTTTAGAAATAGCCCTATTCTAAGAACAATGCTTTCATAATCCACACTGGCAGCCACCATGAGACAGCCCTATGATACACTAAAAATCTTATTTCTGAAACATGTTTAATGACTTAGAAGAATGTCCATGACACAATGATGAGTAAAAAATCAAGACAGAAAACTGAAAATGCAACCTGAGTCCAGTTTTATTTTAAAATCTCTGTCTGCATATTTTAAAGGCTAAATAGAAAAGAGTACAAAATGCTGAAAGGCTTATAATGTAATGCAAATAATTTTTCTTTTTACTTTTTTTTAGTTTAAAAAATTTCCTTCAAATACTATACTTTCATATTAATAACTGTTAAACTACCATATTAAAATAAAACACCACAGGGAGAAGAAGTCAAGGTGCTTATTTTGAGACATACAACAAACTAGGCCACAGCCTGAGAGCCACAAAATGGCTCAGGATGCTCCCCGTGGCCAGTGCTAGCCTCACTCTGGGTTAACCCCAAATGTTATCGGTCTCTGATGATGGAGGATTCCTGAATCCTCTGACCTGTGCACACTCTTTCTTGCCAGGGTCTCAACCATGCCCATGCTGTGGCCTCACAATCTGTGGCCTTTACCCCATACATTGAAGGATGTGCTATGTAGAATGGTCCTGTTAGTGTCCCCATGAATAGATTTTAAGGGAAATGTTTTGCTAATGTTTTCACTTCACTGCTGACCCTACTGCTGTCATCAAGTTAAGCCACTGCTTGTGGATGAAGCCTTGAGAGTGTATGTTCTATTACACAGCCTTTCAATCCATACATCTCACCATATACAGGAGAAAGTTGGAAAGGAAGAGGGTATTTCAGGTCTCAGGGTCTTTTCCAATTGTTTTCTGTGATCTGGGAAAACAGCCAGGTAAATAACTTCCAATTCATTCTCTTTTCTTTCCTGACTGCTGTTTACCTTTTTCTTTTACTTCATGGGCTATTGTTTGGGTTTTTGTTTTGTTTTAAATAGGGATTTGGTTTCCAGTTTCCATGGTCTTTACAGACACTAAATCCACGCTTGTGATGTAGACTATGGGCTACTTCCTCCTTGGATAAATAAGGGCAGGTCATCTGGGAACCTCCTCTCCTCTATGGAAGTAAACAAAGCAAGGCATTGGTAATGTGTAAGAACTAGGTGATCTGGCACAGCTGTAGAACACCAAGAAACATTTCCATGAATGTGACTTTATCCGACTCGTACAAGGGCCCTCTGAGGTATCATCTCCATTTTGGAGGCAAAGAAACCAAGCTCAAATTTGTTTGCAGTTATGGGATGTGTAAAGGACAGGGCCAGGGACCCAGGTCTTCTGAATCCCCATTCTACTATTAAATTATATTTTTGGCAGCAAGTAGCTATTTCTGAGTTAAATTTATTTATAAGGGGCCATCTTATAAATCCTAGAATGAAAATCGATCTATATTTTCAAGGCCCTTGTATTAGAGTTGGCTATGGAGAAGTTATAAATGCTGCTCATCAGAGTCCAGGCAGAAAGAAAGAAAATTCCAAAATGGCAGTGTCTGAAATGAATATAAATCTAAATTTTGAGTTTGTTCCAGAGTTGCTGGAAAGTTGCTATAGCAAATATCCAAAGTAATCATGGGTAGATTTCACCTACAGAATTGTATAGTTCATGAAGAGGCTATTAAAGATCAAAACCTAAACCAAATCAGAACACAGACACATATAATTCATTATTAAAATAAGAATTTAAAAAAGAAGGGATTCAAATATATACTTGGTATATCTTATGGGCAGATGGTATTGGGGAGATGATGTTGGTATTGGGATTCTTCTTAAAGACACTTAAAACTAATGACCTCATCAGTAGACCTGTAATAAACTATCTAAGCTGTGTAACTTAATATTTTACATTTTCTACCAATCCTGGCATACACATGTACATACAAATTATACATTTGCTGTCCTTATGAGTTGTATTCATAATTACTCATTAATAGAAAATATATTGAGAAATAAAACAGTACTTAATTTTACACTGTATCACGTTTGTTCAGGTTTATTTAACCTCAAACAAATCAAAGCTTATGGCTATAGCTAAATTAGTATCCATACAGATGAACGTATTTAAAATGAACACGATCTCCCTGGTTTGGAAACACCCCTGCTCACAGAATATGCCTCTCACCATCCACCTGGTTGTCATGGCAAGAACATCCTGTGAGGCAGTATTCTACTCTGTTTCTATTGCTGTAACAGAATACCATGAGCTGAATAATCTATAAAAAATAGAGGTTTATTTAGCTCATGATTCTGGAGGCTGGACAGTCCAAGACTAAGCAGCTGCATCTGTGGAAGGCCTTCTCGCTCATTATCCCATGGTGGAAGGATATGAGGGCAAGTGAGTGCATGCAAAAGGGAAAGACATAAGGGGCCAGACTTGCTTCATAACAGCCCACTGTCATGATGACTAACTCACTCTCACAATAATGACCTAAATCCATCATAACCAAATCACCTCACATTAGGCCTCCCAAAGCTGTTGCCTTGCAGATTAAGTTTCCAACACATATAAGAAAGGCTCTATGGGGTCAGGGACCATGACTACATATTTGCTACTCTGTACCCACTGCATCATAGTGTTCAGTAAATATCTGTCAATAATTACACAAGACAATGTTCAGAAAGGCTCTTGATAAATAATAAAGCATGATGCAAATAATAAGAGCTAGTCGAACTATAATAGCTATAATTTATGATGTAAATAGGCCAGAAATTAGGTTAAAGCAGTTACACTTATCATCACATTTGACACTCACAACAATCCTCTAGTCTGGGTATTAAGTTATCATCCATATTTTACAGTTGAGGTGGCTGACATTGCCTGAGGTCACAAAGCTGGCCAGTGGCAGAGCTGGAACTTGAGCCCAGAAGTGGGTATCTCCTGAGCCTATGCACAAGAGGTTTTAAAAGATGTTTATATATCACATTTTCCAAAATAACTGACTGCTCTTCATTAATTTACTCATTAATTCAAGTAAATTGGTCATCTTGCATATGGACGGAACAATATACCAGGCACTATGGGAAAGCAAAGACTCATAATAGACAATCCTTTCCCAAGAAACTTAGAGTCTATGTGGAGAAAAAATAATCCACACAGAGATAAGGAGTTAAATAATAACTTAGTGGTAAATAACTATGAGTAATTGTGAAAGTCATAGGCCCATCATAATTTCCTCCTCTAGTATAGACAACTGTTATGAAATCAAGAGAAAGGTGTAGTCACTGAGGCTAGAGCATTGAGAAAGGTTCCTAGAAAGAATATGGATGCAAGCTGGCCCTTATTCTTTTTTTTCTAAATTGAATTTAAGTTCCATGATACATATGCAGGACATGCAGGTTTGTTACATAGATAAATATGTGCCACAGTGGTTTGCTCCACCTATCAACCCATCACATAGGTATTAAGCCCCACACGTATTAGCTTTTTATTCTGACACTCTTTCTCCCTCTGTCCCCATGGCATGCCCCAGCATGTGTTCTCATTGTTCAGCTCCCACTGATAAGCGAGAACTGTGATATTTGGTTTTCTGTTCCTGTATTAGTTTGTTGAAGATGATGGCTTCCAGCTCCATCCATGTCCCTGCAAAGGACATAATCTCATCCCTTTTTATTACTGCATAGTACTTCATGGTGTATATGTATCACATTTTCTTCATTCAGTCGATTATTGATGGGCATTTGGGTTGATTCCATGTTTTTGCTATTGTGGATAGTGCTGCAATGAACATATGTATGCATGTATCTTTATAATAGAAAGATTTCTATTCCTCTAGGTATATATACACAGTAATGGGATTGCTAGGTCAAATGGTATTTCTGGTTCTAGTTCTTTGAGGAATCACCACACCATCGTCCACAATGGGTTGAACTAAGTTGCATTCCCAAAAACAGTGTAAAAGTGTTCCTATTTCTACATAGCCTCACCAGCATCTGTTGTGAGACATTTAATAATTGCCATTCTGACTGGCATGAGATGGTATCTCATTGTGGTTTTGGTTTGCATTTCTCTAATGATCAGTGATATTGAGCTTTTTATCATGTCTGTTGGCTGCATAAATGTTTCCTTTTGAGATGCGCCTGTTCATGTCCTTTACCCACTTTTTAATAAGTTATCTTTTCTTGTAAATTTAAGTTCCTTATAGATTCTGGATATTAGATTTGTGTCAGTTAGACAGATTGAAAACAATTTTCTCCCATTCTATAAGTTGTCCATTCACTCTGATGATAGTTTCTTTTGCTGTGCAGACCCTCTTTAGTTTAATTAGATCTCATTTGTCAATTTTTGCTTTTGTTGCAATTTATTTTGATGTTTTTGTCAGAAAATCTTTGCCCATACCTATGTTCTAAATGGTATTGCCTAGATTTTCTTCTAGGGTTTTTATAGTTTTTGGTTTTATGTTTAAGTCTTTAATCCATCTTGAGTTAATTTTTGTATAAAGTGTAAGAAAGGGTTCCAGTTTCAATTTTCTGCATATAGCTAGCCAGTTTTCCCAGCTTGACTTACTACATAGGGAATCCTTTTCCTATTGTGTTTCTCCAGTTTGTCAAAGATCAGATGGTTGTAGATGTGCAGTCTTATTTCTGAGATCTCTATTCTGTTCCATTGGTATAGGTGTCTGTTTTAGTACCGGTACAAAACAGTTTTGTTTTGGTTACTGTAGGCTTGTGGCATAGTTTGAAATCAGGTAGTGTGATGCCTCCAGCTTTGTTCTTTTTGCTTAATATTGTCTTGGCTATACAGGCTTTTCTGGTTTCATATGAATTTTGAAATAGCTTTTTCTAACTCTGTAAAAAATCTCAGTGGTAGTTTAATGGAAATAGCATTGAATCTATGAATAACTTTGGTTAGTATAGACATTTTCATGATATTGCTTTCCATGAGCATGGAATGTTTTTCATTTGTTTGTGTCTTCTCTTATCTCCTTGCGCAGTGGTTTGTAGTTTCTCCTTGAAGAGATCCATCATTTCTCTTGTTAGCTGTATTTCTAGCTATTATTCTCTTTGCAGCAATTGTGAATTGAAGCTCATTCATGATTTGGCTCTCTGCTTGTGTATTGTTAGTGTATAGGAATGCTTGTGATTTTGCATTTATTTTGTATCCCCAGACTTTGCTGAAGCTGCTTATCAGCTTAAGGAGTTTTGGGGCTGAGACGATGAGGTTTTCTAAAAATACAATTATTTCATCTGCAAACGGATACAATTTGACTTCCTCCTTTCCTATCTGAATACCCTTTATTTCTTTCTCTTGCCCAATTGCCCTGGCCAAACTTACAATACTATGTTGAATAGTAGTGGTATGAGAGAATATCCTTGTCTTGTGCCAGTTTTCAAGGGGAATGCTTGTAGCTTTGCCCATTCAGTATGATATTGGCTGTGGGTTTGTCATAAATAGCTCTTATTATTTTGAGATATGTTCCGTACCCAGTTTCTTGAGAGTTTTTGACAAGAAGCGATGTTGAATTTTATCAAAGGTCTTTACTGCAACTATTGAGATAATCACGTGGCTTTTGTCTTTAGTTCTGTTTATGTGATGAATTATATTTACTGATTTGCATATGTTGAACCAGCCTTGCATCCTGGGGATGAAGCTGACTTGATCATGGTCGATAAGCTTTTTGATACACTGCTGTATTTGGTTTGCCAGGATTTTATTGAGAATTTTTGCATCAAAGTTCATCAGGGATATTGGCCTGAAGTTTTCTTTTTGTGGTATCTCTGTCAGGTTTTAGTATCAGGATAATGCTGGCCTCATAAAATGAGTTAGGGAGAAGTTCTTTCTTTCTAATTGTTTCAAATAGTTTCAGAAGAAATGATAGGTACCAGTTCCTCTTTATACCTCTGGTAGAATTCAGTTGTAAATCTGTCTGGTCCTGGGCTTTTTGTTGTTGTTGTTGTTGTTGTTGTTGGTAGGCTATTACTGCCTCAATTTCAGAACTTGTTATTGGTCTATTAAGGGATTCAAGGTCTTCCTGGTTCAGTCTCGGGAGGGTGTATGTGTCCAGGAATTTATCTATTTTTTTCTGGATTTTCTGGTTTATATGCATAGAAGAATTTACAGTATTCTCTGATAGTTGTTTGTATTTCTGTGGGGTCAGTGGTGATATCCCCTTTATCATTTTTTATTTTGTCTATTTGATTCTTCTGTCTTTTCTTATTTATTAGTCTAGCTAGTGGTCTACTTTATTAATATTTTCAAGAAACCAGCTCCTAGATTCACTGATTTTTTGGAAGTTTTTTTTTTTGTTTGTTTTTTGGTCTCTATCTCATTTAGTTACACACTGATCTCGGTTATTTCTTGTCCTTTGTTAGCTTTGGGATTTGTTTGCTCTTGGTTCTCTAGTTCTTTTACTTGTGATGTTAAGGTATTGGTTTTAGCTCTTTCTTGAAGCTTTTTGATGTGGGCATTTACTGCTATAAATTTCCCTCTTAATGCTGCTTTAGCTGCATCCCAGAGATTCTGGTATGTTTTCTCTTTGTTCTCATTGGTTTCAAAGAACTGCTTGATTTCTGCCTTAAATTCATTATTTACCCAGAAGTCATTCAGTAGCAGGTTGTAGTTGTGTGGTTTTGAGTCAGTTTCTTAATTTTGAGTAATAATTTGATGGTCCTGTGGTCTGAGAGATACATATTATGATTTCAGTTGTATTGCATTTGCTAAAGGGTGTTTTACTTCAATTATATTATCAATTTTAGAGTAAATGCCATGTGGTGCCAAGAAGAATGTATATTCTGTTGTTTTATATCCAATTATGTGATCGATTTTAGAGTAAGTGCCATGTGGTGCTGAGAAGACTGTATATTCTGTAGTTTTTGAGTGGAGAATTCTGTACATATCTATCATTTCCACTTGAGCTGGAGCTGAGTTCAACTTCTAAATGTCCTTGTTAATTTTCTGTCTCAATGATCTGTCTAATATTGACAGTGGAGTGTTAATTTCCCACTGTTATTTTGTGGGAGTCTAAGCCTCCTTGTAGGTTCTAAAAACTTGTTTTATGAATCTGGGTACTACTGTATTGGACTATATGTTTATGATAGTTAGCTCTTCTTATTGAATTGATCCCTTTACCATTTTGCAATGCCCTTCTTTGTATTTTTTGACCTTTGTTGGTTTAAAGTCTGTTTTGTCCAGAAACTAGTATTGCATTTTTGCTTTTTTTCTGCTTTCCATTTGCTTGGTAAATTTTCCTCCATTTCTTTATTTTGAGCCTATGTATGTCTTTGCACGTAAGACAGGTCTCTTGAATACAGCACACTGATGGGTTTTGACTTTTTATCCAGCTTGCCATTCTGCATCTTTTAATTGGGGCATTTAGTCCATTTACATTTAAAGTCAATATTGTTATGTGTGAATTTGATCCTGACATCATTATGCTAGCTGGTTATTTTGCAGATTCGTTGATGTAGCTGCTTCATAGTGTCATTGGCCTTTGTATTTCAGTGTGTTTTTGCAATGGCTGGTAATGGTTTTTCCTTTCCATATTTAATGCTTCCTTCGGGAGTTCTTAAAAAGCAGGCCTGTTGGTCACAAATTCCCTCAGCATTTGCCTGCCAAAAGGGTTTTACTTATCTTTTAATTATGAAGTTTAGTTTGCCTGGATATGAAATTCTAGGTTGGAAACTCTTTTCTTTAATGTCAAACATTGGCCCCTAACCTCTTCTGGCTTGTAGGGTTTCTATTGAGAGGTCTGCTGTTAGTCTAATGGACTTCCCTTTGTAGGTGACCTGGCCTTTCTTGCTGGATGGCTACCCTTAACATTTTTTTCCTTCTTTTTGACCTTTGAGAATCTGATGATTATGTGTCTTGGGGTTGATCTTCTTATGAAATATCTTACTGGGGTTCTCTGGATTTCCTGAATTTGAATGTTGGCCTGTCTTGTTAGGTTGGGGAGGTTCTCCTGGATGATATCCTGAAGTATGTTTTCCAGTTTCATTCTCCTCATCTCTTTCAATTACCCCAGTCAGTTACAGGTTCAGTCTTTTTACATAATCCCATAGTTCTTAGAGGTTTTGTTCATTCCTTTTCATTTTTTTTCTCAAATCTTATCTGCCTATCTTATTTCAGCAAGATATTCTTTAAGCTCTGAAATTCTTTCCTCTGCTTTGTCTATTTTGTTATTGATAACTGTGGTTGCATTGTAAAGTTCTTGTATTTTTCAGCTCCATCAGATAATTTATATTCCTCTCTAAACTGTTCCTCTCTAAACAACTTCTGTATTGCTTTATAATGGTTCTTAGCTTTTTGCATTGAGTTAGAATGTGCTCCTTCAGCTCAGTGAAGTTCATTATTACCCTCCTTCTGAAGCCTATTTCTGTCAATTCATCCATCTCAGCCTCCACCCACTGCTGTGTTCTTTCTGGACAGGTGTTGCAACCATTTGGAGGAGAAGAGACACTCTGGCTTTTTGAGTTTTGAGTGGTTTTTTGTTGATTCTTTCTTAAGTTCATGAGTTTGTAGCTTCTATCTTTGAGGCTGCTGACCTTTGGATGGGATTTTTGTGGAGGCTTTTTTTTGTTGATGCTGTTGTTGTTGCTTTCTCTTTTTCTTTTAACAGTCAGACCCTTCTTCCATAGGGCTGCTGTAGTTTTCCTGAGTCCCTCCTGCACCTGGAGGTATCACCAGTGGAGGCTAAAGAACAGCAAAGATCACTGTTTGCTCCTTCCTCTGGGATCTCTGTCCCAGAAGGGCACCAACCTGATGCCAGTGGGAATGCTCCTGTATAAGGTGTCTGCCAACCTCTATTGGGGGTTCTTACCCAGTAAGGAGGCATGGGATCCATGACCCACTTAGTGGTGCACTCTGGCTGCCCCTTGGTGGAGTGGGTGTATTGTTCCCGGGGGATTCCCACTCATCCAGACTGCCCAGATTCCTCAGAGCCAGCAGGGGGCAAAGCTAAGTCTGCTGATCTATGAAGACTGAAGCCACCCATCATAAGGAGATTAAAGTTCTGTCCCTAAACTTCCCCGGCTGGAGTTGCAGATATTCCTGTAGGGAGGCTCCACCCAGAGAGGAGGGATCTGTCAGGGTTTGGCCTAAAGAGGCAGTTTGGCCACCATCTGCCACAGCCACTAACCTGCGCTGTGGGGAATTCCTCCTGGATCCAAACCGTCCAGTCTCCCAGGTACCAGCAGGGGAAAAATGGCAGACTGCAATTACAGGAATGGCTGCTGCCCCTCCCACTGGTAGCTCAGTTGTCTTAAGCAGCAGGCAACTGCACTGATGGAGAATATCTCTCCCCTCCAGGAACTCGGTAGTCTTAGGCAGGCTCCAGCCAAGTGGCCGCTGAGAATCTGCATAGCTCTCTGCTTGGAACCCAAGGCTCTGGTGGTGTGAGCTCATGAGGGAGTTCTCTCGATCCACGAATTGCACAGGTCTGTGGGAAAAGCATGGTTTCCTGGGCAGGGTAGCACAATTACTCACTGCCTCCCTTGGCTGGGGGATGAGAGCTCCCCTTGCCCTGTGTGGCTCCCAGGTGGGCCATCACACCACCCTGATTTTCCTTGCTTTTCTTTAGTCGCACCAACTGCCTAGTCAGTCCAAACAAGATAACCTGGATACCTCCGTTGCTGGTGCATGATTCACTCACCATTTTTGTTCTTCTCAGTGGGAGCCTCTGACCACTCCTTTTAGTCAGTCATCTTGGCCCCTCTCCCGGACCTTACTCTTTAGTCAAGGCATAAACTCGCTTTTGAATGTGGGAGTCAAAAGGGTGCCATGCTGTGCTGTAGAGACAGAAATCAGAGTTGCTCCTGGTATGATTTGGACAAGTTCTTAACTCCTTATCCTTCATCTATAGAACGGAGATAACAATCATACCTCCTTTTGAATTGTGATGGGGATTAAATGGGACACACAACTTACAAACTGATGAGCTCCATACCAGCTACAGAAACCACTTAATAAATAGTAGTGATGCTGATTCATCTTACTTTTCATCACTTAGACACAGAAGAAAGAATGTTTATGTGCTAAGTTAAATTCTCAAATTCTCCAATAGAAAAATTTAACATTTTTGAGAAACATAAAGGGGAAAGTCCCCTGTAGCTTCTGTTTTTTTCCTAAAAAGAAATTATATCCATAAAACCACAGAACAAATAAAAAAGTTAGAATTTCAAATGCTGACTTCAACTGTTTCCAAGCCCAAGATAAAACTTTAAGTGTTTTTTAAATATGTCATTTAAACATCATTTGTTTTAGAAAACAAATGGATACTTTTTACAAATCAAAGCTTTATTCTTGGCACAGTGTTTTCTGTTAGCATTTTCTGCAATAACCAAAATGACTTGATAAAACAAAATCGAAAGAGAAGCCATATTTAGCAAGAAAATAACAGATTTTTTAAGAGGACATGTTAATGACAATTAGTATATACTCATCAGAGAGATCTAGAATTCATGGTATAAGAAGTGTTTATAAGTCCACACACCTAGTAATAAAGAAAGACATCTTTAGGGCATCACAATCATCTTCCATCATTGACAGGCTGCCATGTAGAAAACGGAGAAAGCTGGTTCTGCCTTGTCCAAAGGAGGAGAAATTGGACCAATTTCTTTTAGTTTTAAAAAGCAGATTGTACTTATTTTTGAAATAAAAGGAGAAAAAGAAAAAAAGAAGCAAAATTACCTCTTTGGCGTTTCTAACAGTATGGACAAATTGATGGCTGCCATGGCAGACAATGAAATGCTCTTGCAGAGCCTGGTTAACTAGGAGCTGAGGATACTGCACTAATATGCTCCTAGAGTCACCTCCCTTCTACTCCACCCTGTCCATCTGTTCTCTATACCACAGCCTGACTGATCTTTCAAAGTGGAAATCAGTTGATATATATACATGTAAAACATTTTAATCCAGTGGCTCTCGAGCCATTGATCACACAGCTAGGAAGTAACCAACTCCTGACTGAGACCCAGGTAAGTCCAACTCCCAGAGGCTGAGCTCATAAACCCTTTGGCAGTTTGAGTTATAGACGGAGTGAGAGAGGCTAGAGAACTACAGGTACCGCTTCATAGAGGGGTATGGCAGAACTGGAGATCCACAAACATAGCATTTCTCAAAAATATTATGCCATGTTAAGCTATGAGAAAATTACATCCATTCTATTCATTCATTCATTTATGCATCCATCTTTACATTGGAATCACCTGAGCATCTTTCAAAATCCTGATATCCAGGCAGCACCCACACCAATTAAAATCAATCTCTGGGGGCAGGTCCCAGGACTCAGGATTTTTGAAGCTTGCTAGGTGACACCAATATGCACCTAGGTTGAGAATGATGCTTTAATCCAAAGATTCAGATCCTTACATGTTTACAAGACCCTCATAGAATAACCCCCACCTGCCTTCCAGCCTCCCCTCCTATCCCACTCTTCCATATCTCTCTTCTTGCATTCCAGCTTTCTTTATGTTTCTCAGTTCCTGCTAGTCCTCTCATCATAGGGACTGGCACACATAGTTCCACCTGCAAGGAACTTCCTTCCTTCTCCACCTGACCAGGGTACCTTTCAGCTACTTCCCACTCTTCAGGTCTTTCTCCGTCTTTCTGCTCTGGATTGCCCTACTTCCCCCACATGCGCTTAAAGCTCAGAAAAAACTTGACATGAGAGCACAATTCATGGTTATTTATACAAACCTTATTTGTGTAATTACTTGATCCGTGATTGAATCCTCCATTAGATTATTGTTCATACTGAGTCTCCAGCACTAGCACAGTGCCTGGCATCTAGTAGACTAGATGGATAGGTGAATAAATGAATGAAGAAATGAGCAGTATAGATGTAATTTACGCATAGTTTAACATGGCATAACTGTTTTCTGTGGTCTGGGAAAAACAGCCAGCTAAATAGCCTCAAATTCATTCCTTTTTCCTTCCCGACTGCTGTTTACCCCATTCTTTTACTTCATGGACTATTGTTTGGGTTTTTGTTTCGTTTTTTTAAATACGCATTTGGTTGCCAGTTTCCATTGTCTTTGCAGAGACTATAAATGCACATTTGTGATGTAGACTATGGGCTACTTACTCCATGGACAAATGAGGGCAGGCCATCTGGGAATCTTCCCTTTTCTGTGGAAGTAGACAAAGCAAGGCATTGGTAACATGTAAGAATTAGGTGCTGCAGCACAGCTGTAGAATACCAAGAAATATGTCCATGAATATGACTTTATCTGCCCTTTATAAGGGCCCTCATCTCCATTTTGAAGGTTAAAAAAAAACAAAAAACAAAAACAAAAAAAAAAAAAAACAAGCTCAAACAAAGAGTTTCAAATTTGCTTGCAGACACAGTACTCATAAAGGAGAGGGCCAGGGCCCCAGGCCTTTTGAATTCCCTTTTCACTATTCAATTATAATTTTGGCAGCATGTCTATCGCTGGGTTAAATTTGTTTCCAAGGGGCCACCTTATAAATCCTAGAATGACGATTGATCCATATTTTCAAGGCCCTAGTATCAGAGTTGGCTATAGAGAAGTTATAAATGCTGCTCATCAGAATCCAGGCAGAAAGAAAGAAATTTCCAAATTGGCAGAGTTTTAAATGAATATGAATCTAAATTGTGAGTTTGTTCCAGGGTTGCTGGAACATTGCTATAGCAAATATCCAGTGTAATCATGGGTAGATTTCATCTACAGAGTTGTGTAAATCATAAAGACAAGAGGCTGTTAAAGACCAAAACCCAAACCAAATAGGAACACAGACACATGCAATTTTTATTGAAAAAGGCTATATTCATGCATTTTCAGTTCTAATTCAGTTCTGCCATATGCCCTCTGGAGCAGTTCCTGCAGCCTCTCTTCCTCCATCTATAATCCAAACTGACAAAGGGTTTCTGAGCTCAGCCTCCAGGAGTCAGACCCACCTGAGTCTCAGTCAGGAGCTGGCTACTTCCTGCTGTGTGATCTTAGGCCAGCTGCTTCCCTTTTCTGAAATTATTTCCTCATATATAGAATAAAGTGACCAATGTTTATTTCACAGTTACTTTAAGATTCAACTGAATCCCTGAGTACAGTGCTTAGCCCACACTATGTGTAAACAGTAATAATAATGCTGAGATAACTGTTTATTGTATGCTCTTCTCTTGATCAGAATGTTTCAAAGGCTCTCCTCTTGAATGCTGGATTAACGCTTAATTCCAACTCAGCTCCAGATCTGCTCATCATTGTCTTTACTGGTCTCCACCTTACAGTGACAATGGAGAATACAGAACCAGTGGGTTCACTGCTGTTCCACATCTCTAAGCCTTAGCCAAGGCTGACACTTCCATCTGGAGCAACTTCTCACTAGCTGTCTACCTGCTCCCCTCTACCCCCCAAAAAATCCCTCATTCTTCATACTTCAGCTCAGAATTTAATTCCTCTGTGAAGCCTGCTCTGGTTCCCCAGAGAAATGATCCTTCCCCTACATTCTTTCTGAACTAAGGCACACATCACCACTGACTACTCATCGACCTTTACTGACCTTGTTCACCATCTGTCTGTCTATTAACTAGACTGCAAGATACCTGTGGCCACAAACCATCTGTTTATCTTTACATTCATAGAT